TCATTAACTTTGTTCTAATTTATTTTTGTAAAAAGAAAAATTGATAACATCGTTTTACCTTATAAATTTATTTCTCATCAACGATTGTGTGTGATCATAACGAGAAGGAATTAACTCAAAATGTTTCATTTTATTTTATATACTTTGTTTCTTTTTTTTATATATATACATATATATATATATATTGATTGATTGATTGATTATATATGATATATTGATGGATTGTATATATGTATTCTTATGCGTCCGTTATACAATGACTCAATCATTACAAAAATTAATTACAAATGATACGATTAAATATTATAAAAAGAAAAAGAAAGAAAGAAAGTCATTCAAAAGGTTTTCCAACGCCACGTTAAGTGCACGGATAAACGATTTTAAATTTATAAAAAAGAAAAATATCAAAAAAAAGGGAAAAACCTAGTATACTATAATGAATAGTATTTGCCACTAATAATTAATTATATTTAGGGGTAAGTTTAATGAGAGATTGATATATATATATATATATATAGAGGCTGTTTTCTAAGGTTTTTCCAGGGAAACGGTGTCGGCGTATTCTATGTACGAAAAAAAGGAAATTTATGCATAAAATAAACTGATACCATTTAGTCGGAGAGATCTTAGACACCTAAATATATACACACACACATATATATATATATATATATATATATATCATATTTCAATCATGCATTATATGCAAGCAGTTTTTAGAAATTAGTGTAAACGTAAATTCTTTTTTAAAAAATATAATCGCCGTTTCATATGACATATATATATATAAGCCTTAATCATATAAATATATATATATATATTAGAATGGTTGTACAATTTACATTATATTATTATATATGCGCAATATTAAAACATTATATTATTCTTATTAGTATTAAAGAGATATCTTCACCTTTTGTCAAATACTATTGTGTTTTTTTTTATTTTAGCATACCAACATATCTTTTTTGCGATATTATCATGAATCTTTTTTAATATCCCAAAACCTGTGCATTTTGTACATAGATTTTGATCAGGACAATAATAGAATTTTCTTATTTATACTTAAATCACGCGTACACGTGTGTGTGTGAGACATATATGGTATCTGTGAAATTAAGTATGAAGATGTTAATGGATTTTCATTAAAAAGTACATTTTCAATTTGCTTTCCTTCTATTTTTTTTTCTTTCTTCAAATATGCATATAATTTTATACAAATTATATTGCTTTACCAATGTATACTAATAAATAATAATAATGTAAATTACAATAAAGGAATTTTTTAATATTATCTGTGTGTAAATGTGAAAGATTTTAGAAAATATTTTAAAATTATTATATAATGAAATTTTATAGAAAACAGAGACGATTGTTTCAAAAATATTTGACATGCAATTGAAATTAAATATTTTATAAAAAAAAAATATAATAGACATTATTATCTTTTTAGTAAAAAAGCATTGCTACTTATTCAAATTTTCTGAATTAAATTCATTCGACAATCCGTCATCTTCTATTTCAAATATCGTTATTTCTTCAGATATCGCTGATCGTATTTGAATTTTGTTATTTTCAATAACTTGCATCTGAAGATAATTATTTTCATTTTTAATATGCTTATTTACTGACGGATTATGAATCTTGGTATGTTTCATCATATCTCCTTTTTGAGCAAACGCCCGACCACATATTGGACAAGGATAAGGACGTTCTCCAGTATGAGTTCTTTTATGCACAATTAATGATTGCAGACGCTTAAATTTTCTGTCACAAAATGGACATTTGTGTGGATAGTCGTTTGTATGAAGAGCCAAATAGTGCTGTTTCATTATTGCTTCGGTTCGAAAACCTTTTTTACATACAGAACAAGTATATGGTCTTTCACCAGTATGAAGAAATTGATGCACCTTTAATTGACTTCCTGTACTAAAGCATTTTCCACAAATTGTACATACGTAAGCTTTCTTTTCACCATTGTGCTTTGCAAGATGATATTTTAACATAAGAAGAGACTTAACTTTTTTTCTACAAATACTACATCTGATACCTTCTTTAATCAAACGTGGTTCTCCATTCTCGATAACAAAATGCGTTTTTCTATGCTGACCCATGTTACCACGTCTATTATAACTTGCTCCACATATATCGCAAACGTACGGCCTCGTGCCAGAGTGAGAACACATATGTTGCTTTAATAAAGATTTAACGCGAAAACTTTTAGGACAATGCGCGCAATAAAATTTGTTCTCTTCTTTATGCGTTTCATTATGTCTATGTAATTCAGATTTGGTATAACATATTTTATTGCACGTCTTGCAACTATAGATTATTCTATTATTTTTTGTAATGATACCATGTTGCATATCGTTCGATGCATCGTCGATATTTAAATATTTAGTTTCATTTTCGATATTTATTTCATTTAATTTGTGTAACGTATTTGTTCTTTCAGGACTACTTTTTAAAGGTAAATTGTATGAATGCCTAAAAAAAATTATAATTTAATAATATAAAATGATTTAAAAACAAAAAAAATTAATTTTTAATAATATTAAAAAGTCAAAAATATTACTCCGTATAATGTGTAGAATGATTTCTAACATCTTTTTCATCTTTAATATAGGATTTATTTTTATGTGCCGGAATATAAGTATAATAACTAGTTTTTTCTATATTCTGATAATTGTCTTGATCTAAATGGACATTATCACATATCGGTTCTGTTGCTGAAAACTGAGAGTTAATGTTGAATTATAATATTTTTAAAAAATCAGAAGAATTGTATTTTTTAAAAATTATTATTACCAGCGAGCTTTCAGATAAGGTAGCTAAAAGTAGATTATCTTCGGCTTGTTCATTTTGTCGTTCATTCTTATGCATTAATAACTTAGAATTTGCATCAAGAAATTGTTGAATAAAATCATAGCATAATGTAACTTTATGTACACATAAATGACAAATCTCTTGAGGTAAACCATCGTATTTATGTACTTCTAACTAAAAAGAAAATTCAGTTCAAAGTAATGCAATAACTAAAAATATTTCAATAGATAAATAAAAATCTATGAACGAATGATCTTGCATTTGCTTACTTGAAGTGGTAAAATTGTATTAATTTTTTTATCCATATCATTATCATAAATAGAATGAAGCATATTACTTGATGTAGGCAATGCACAAAGGCGACACAATTCTTCTACATCTTTTTGCAAAGTGTCATCATTATGCGACTCTGCAACTGCAGTTATCGTGCTATCTTTAACGTTACTCACTATGTCATTTATCTATAATACATAAATAATATTGAGTTAAACTCATATTCTTTGTAGTATTTCAAAAGATTTGTTTTTACATACCAGTGAGACAGAACATAAAGATTTTTTATTTTTCGCTGACAGATTTGTATTTGATTGCTTATTTTTTTCTACATTATGCGTGATGTAGTCTTTTAAATCTTCTACAGTGTCTTCGCTTTTGGTAATATTTGTATCAATTGAGGCATTGCTTTGTCTTGATATACATTCTTTCAAATTATTTTTAAATATTGTAGGTATAGGTATTTTAGTTTTATTAAATGCAGTTTTACGTTCAGGATCAATGAACCAGTGATCCTCAAAATGTTCAGCGCAGAGTACATAACGTTTAATAGAAGTCTTACTTTTGCGCATTAATTCTGGTATACCACATGCTTCTGCCCAAATGCGAGCACTATTTAAAATATATTAATAATTAATAATAATATAATTAATATGTAAGTAAGAATAAAATAAGAATGAGAAAGTTATATATCATTTAATTAATAGGCTAGGTTATAATATAGGAGCTTACTATTCTTGATTAGTAGGAAATGTGAAGAACTGTATTTGTGGTGAATCTCGTGTACTATTAAAACACATTTTAGAGGCACATCTTTTTTCTACCATTTTTTACAACTAAGATATATAGAATGAAAAATATAAATCAACAATATTTACTTGCTTCTGATATCTCATAAAAATTTGTTTATCTTATTATATGTCGACTGACTTCGTATTACATATATCTTTTAATAATTCAAATAATTTTTAATATATAATTTATATTAATTTATAATATATTTTAAATATACTCAGTTTTTACTAAAATCACTTTCTGAAGGAGTACAAATAATCTATTCGATACTTAATTGTATTTAATTGTCATCATAAATAGAACATTGCATTTAATAAAAATGATATTATTAAAATTATTTTTTATTATAACATAAAAGAATGCTTATGCATTACAATTTTTTAAAGTGAAGATAAAATATTAATTCGATACACATTAAGAACAAGCCTTTGAAACTCTTATTAAGTTTTCCAACTAATTTTAGTTTAGTCTAGAACCGAGTAGGTGACGCAGTGTTAGATTTATTTCTTGGTTCTTTATATTATTCTCTTCCCCTTCTGCTTTACACAGATGCACTCAGTAAAAAAAAATTTGCATAGAACCGCAACAGCAGAAAAAAATGAAAAAATGAAAATATTTACCTATTGTTTATACATTATGAACGATTAACTTATTTCTTTCTGCTACGTTATAGGTTGTTACTTTGGAAATCAACTTTAAATATATCCCCTGCAGGTATACCAACTTTATTTTCATTTTTTTCCAAGTGTGCTTGCGCCTTGAATTTGTGGTTGCGCATGTGTATAACATATCTCCCACTCATGACGTCGCCATTTCATAATTATTCAAAGTGTAATAATTATTTTCAACTAATTAACGATAAATAAAAAATATTTGATAAAATAAAGTTCAGCAAATAGTGAGCAATTAAGAGCACTTATTTATTTTTTTCTGCTGTTACAAACTTCGTTGCTTTGCTTAGAAATAGAAAAAAATTTTTTGTATTTTCAATTATTAATAACTAATTAAATAATTAATTAATAAAATGAGCAATTATGGATTTTGATTGAGAATTTAATGAGCAATTAAGAGCACTTATTTATTTTTTTGTGCTGTTAAGGGTACCAGTTAGCGTATCTACGGTGTATTCTTTGCAAATACAGTAGAGGCATTATTATCCTTATGTTATCTCATGTCAAATTTTATTGACAATTTAGTTAGTTAATGATAAGCATTTCTGTTAAATTATACATTTCGTTCAACTTCATTTAATTGCCTATAATCTAATTTTAAATCAGTTAACTTATTTTCTTTTTTATGTTCTTGCATAACATTTCACTTTTTTAGTTACCATGAGTTGGTAATTTCGTGTGTATATATATGATATGGAGAAAGCAATATATTTGATACAATAGTTCGATGCATTGTGTTTCTTCATTTATGAAATTATAAATAATTAAAATAAAAATAAAAAATGATTGTGTGTGTAAAGATCTTCATCTCCGATTATATAATAAATAATTGATAAAAGAACAAAATCTACCTGGAATATTACATGACAGCAGTCAACAATAATTATATACATAATACAATCTTCTAACCTTTCAATTTTTTAATTGTACTTTGAACTTTTTCAAATGGATATGGAATCGTGATTGCATAACTAATATAATAATATTTATATTCAAATCCTAAAATATTATATTTATCAAATAAAATGGGAAATAAATCTAGTCTTCTATTACGTGAAGAAGAAATAGCTCAAATTCAAGAAGCAACAGGATGTATGTACTAAAAAAATGATTTTGTTATACAGAATATATCCGGACAAGAGAGTGATTCTACATGTAAAAATAAGTCGGCCCATAAAAGAGTGATATTTTTTATAATTCTGTTTCTGAAAAAATCAAGTTTGAACATTTGGTAGAGTTTAGTACGCTGAACCATTTCCAGGCTTAGATATGTAATAATAAACAAGTCAACTAATGGATAACACATTTATTAACATTAATTATGTTATATTATTGAAGACTTTTTAAAAGTGATATCCTTGATCAAAAACATTTATTATTTTTTCTTTCCGTTCAAAAAAGTTTATATTTGTTTCTGCATACTGAGTGTAAGCAAAACAAAATTATTGAAGAAATAATTTAGTGTGCATGTACTTCACCCAATTTTCTCAAAAAAAGAATTGCTAAAAATATTACTTTCTTTTTTTTTTGACTTATTTTTACATGTGGGATCATCTCCTTATTTGGTTGTACCATCTATTAGGAGACATCTTCTACATATTTAATTACATCTTTATTACATTTATTCTAGTTACTCCAAATCAGATTGAACGCTTGTATAGCCGGTTTACTAGTCTGGATCGTGGAGACTGTGGTACATTAAGTCGAGAAGATTTTCTCAGGATTCCAGAACTTGCAATAAATCCACTTGGTGACAGAATAGTGAATGCCTTTTTTGATGAAAGTGGAAATGATAGAGTTAATTTTTTACAATTCATGCAAGTACTAGCACATTTTAGACCGATAAAAAAAAACAGTCCTAATAGATTAAATTCAAGACAGGAAAAATTAAAGTGTACGTAATAGTATCAATTTTTTTCACATTATTCACAAATTTATTCATATTTATTCTCTATTAATATGAATTAAATTAAGAAATATTAAAAAGTATAATTAGCTAATTGTGTAACAATTACTTAATAATTTAAATTTGTAGTTGCTTTTAAAATGTATGACTTGGATAATGACGATTTAATATCTAAAGATGAACTACTGGCTATTTTGCACATGATGGTTGGAGCTAATATTAGGTAGGAAAATATATATATAGAATTTGCGAATAAGTAAAATTCAGATGAAAATTTAGATATATATGTATATATACATATTACTATGCTTGTTTATATATGTATATATAGCGCGGAACAACTCACCAGCATTGCAGAACGTACGATTGTTGAAGCTGATGAAAATGGAGATGGTATGATTTCTTTGGAAGAATTTTGCAAGGTACTGGAACGAACAGATGTTGAACAGAAAATGTCTATAAGATTTCTTAGCTAAATTTATTGTATATTCTAAAAATTTATTATAGAGGAATATTAATACATCTAATATAATGTATATCCTCTCCGTTTCTTTAATGAATATTACATCTTTATCTTTGTGATTCATATGGATATTATATACTGTTTGTGTTATCATACATATGTTATGTATTACACATAACACAATTTGAAGCGTACCATAACATAAGAAAGCAAACAATTGGATTAATATTAACAAATATACTATATTATTATTACACAATTTCATATTTATATAATCAACAATCACTGATCTTAAAACCAAAATGCAGAAAAATACATTGTGTGAATTACTGTATACATTTAAGTTTTAAATAAATTGCATGTTTCTTGAAAATCTTTAGATACATTTACAAAATTTTATATATTAATATATTTGATAATCATCCAAATATAAAAAATTAATAATTCCTAATAATAGCTAGAAAAAATTTTATGTATAGAGACCGATAATTATACAGATATCTATGTAAGAATTATGCTGTAGAAGAAACAGCCAACTTTTTTAAATGTTCCATAAATACTTGCAAACTGACATCATCAGTTAAAACAGGAGCTCCACTTTCCTAAAAATAATAACGTATTGAATTAGTAAATATAAAAATTGAAAAATAATTTATAAAATTATAAATTAAACCCTCCACCTCATATATATAAGACACAGAAATGCTAAAAGTTTGTAATGAAAAACACCAATTTATGTTAAACTATTTCATATTGGCGCATGTTAAGCTATAGAATTATTAGTTATTAATATTATATAAGTTATTAAAGTTTTCAAACCTTAGCATTTTATGTATCTCAACCTATTTATCATGTTACATTCATTTCAATTAAAAAGAATATTATGCATGAATAAATATGAAAGATATTAATATAAATAATAAATAATATAATCAATTTTATTTTTGCTATCATAAATGATATGATAAACAATTTCCACATATGTTATTTATGCAATTGCCACATTTAAAGAATTTAACAATATTTCTTAAAATTCCACCACCGAAGCATTAAAGTCTTATAAAAAAAAGCAATTATTAAATGAGTTGAAAAACACACCCCACTGGGTAACGGCATCCCCTGGTTCACAGGATCGTGGTGATAAAACAAAATTAGTTACATATGATTGATATTATTTGCTAACTAAAACTTTTACATATATGAGAACGAATTTTCGTAATAACAAAAATATACTTTACGAACTTATAATAAATTATAATTTTGATTTCTTTAATAAAATAAATTAAAATAAACATAACATAAGATACAAATTTCTTTAATGAACTTACCGCTCCATAGGCATACATGTTATTATGAGTTTGACTGGGATTTACTTTGCTCAACAAGAATCTAGCTTGTGAGCCTCCGTGTTCTGTATCAATATATCTAGGTGCCGGAAATCTTCCACTAAGTATTTCAGCAGCATCATCTACTGGTGCTGCTAATAACTGACGGAAATTCTCATATTCTGGTAAATCTTGAAATTTTAACTGTCGCCATTGTACTATTATCTATTAGAGAAAATGTAGCTTAAATATAATGTATACTACAATATTATATGACAATCTAAAAGCAAGAAAAATATTTATACTTCTCCATGAAATATGAGTATTTGGAAAAATGTATCCATCAATAAAATTCTATCCGGTTGAATTGATGAAGTATCAAGTAACACAGGTTCAGGTGGACCACTAAACCCATAGCTATATAAAATGGGTTGTACCATTATCAAAGAATTTGTCAAATCCTCACGCATTAGCATATGCCTATTATAAAAAAGTAATTAATTAAATAATATCTATAACATATAGAAGAAAAAGAATAAATAAATATGGGAAAATTAATTTTACCTATAAAAACTTGTTTCGTCTGGTGAATTGTTAAATACTTGTAAAAATTGAGATCTACGTAAATGATACATAAACTGCGGATATAATGAAAAGTTCTCTGCGAGTCTAAAACTATTTGGATCATCTTTAGAATATTCACCAAACTTCTGGCACTATAATTTATAAATAATAAATATTAGTATTTTATGTAATGTTGGATAGTTATAAAATTAAAATAGTAATTAAGAAATAATAACAAGTCTTATAAGCATTCTGTCCACCCATCTTAGAACATCAGGGCCATCATCACTTTCAGCTTTAAAAATGGCTAAACGTGACATAAGAACTGCAGCTGCTTCTTGATCAAAACCTGCACTTACATGATGTAACGATGTAGATGCATCTGCCCAACTATAATTAAAAATATTATAAACAAAAAAAATAATACAATACAAAATTTATGCAATGATACATACTTTCTAGCTATAGTTGTAACTCTAATTCTTCGTTGACCGCTACTATGTTGGTATTGTGTAATAAATTGAATGCAACCTCTTCCACCTTGCGGAATTGGTGCAGTATGTTGATTTACAACTTCAAAGAAAATTGCTGTTGTAGTCGATGGTGTCAAAGAACAGAATTTCCACTGACATGTACCACCTAAACCAACTTCTTGTTCTCCTACACTAGAGCCCTTTATACCCAAAGAAACGCACGGACCAATAGCACCGGAAACCTTAAGTTCTCTCGATGTTTTAACTTCCAAAGTAGCATTAAATGCCATTTTTAGATCACCTTTAGCATCCTTTGTGAACACTCGTTGGAATGTTTGTTTGAAAAGCGACGAGTTAAATGAATCTCCCATTACCATATGTCCTCCCGTTGAATTACAACATTGTCTCATTTCTAATAATCCAGTTTGATCAAGAGCGCATGAATAAATATCAATTATATGACCATTAGTTGCAGCACGAGAAGCAAGACCATCATAATGTTTAGTAGCTTTCTTTATATGCTTTGCATTATCTTTTTGAATGTCATGATGCGATCTAATAGGTTGACGAAGATCATCTGTTACAACTTGGCCAGGGCCTTGAGAACATGGTCCACCAACAAAAAGCATTATTCTAAAAAAATTATTAATATTCATACCAAAGAGTATATATAAAAATGTCGTACTATTATCGTTTACTAATATACTATTCTATTACCAACCTAGCCCCAGTGTTTGCATAACTAGCTTCCAAAAGTCCTGTAGCTACAGCTAATGCCATGCCAGTTGAACGCAATGGACGTTTTCCAGGTCCAACTGGCCAAGGATCACGTTGCAATTCTCCAAGTAAATCTGTTAAACTCATGTCACATTTATGCACTGGTTGTAAAAAACGATTAGCTGGTGGTAATGGTTGTCCGCCGGTACCTCTCTGTTGATTTGGATTTTGACCAGGTATTGGTCTACCAATACCTAATACAATAAAAATGATGATAAATAAAAGAAATTTGGATAGAAAAGACAGAATATATAAGGTAATACTAACCAAGCATATCTTGAACCTGCTTTGGCTGCAAATCTTTAGTACCACGGAACACATAGCTTTTACTGCATCCTTCGCAACCTAACTCATGCACTTGGACCATCCTTCCAAAAGTAATAAGACCAATCATAGCATTAGGTGGAAGCAAAGATAAAGACATCTGAAGTGAATCCTTAAGAGCACCCAATTCTTCCTCATCCATGCATGTATCAACAACAAGTAAAAAGATAGGAGGAAGGCACTGTGCTCTCTGAAAAAAATAATATAAACAGAATAAATATCTAAATGGAAAAATAAAAGTATTTTTAATGATATATAATACAAATATTTTTACCATTATAGTATACTCTATTGTTGAAAACATAGGAATTAGTTCTGCCGGTTGATGTTGCTCCGAAATAGCTGAATATTGAGGTGGAAACTAAATGCACAAGAATGCGCCATAAGCATAATTACAAACAATTGCAATTATTGTTAGATAAATATTTCATATAAATGTATTTCTTACAGGGTTCCTTCCAAAACATAAATTGCACACCCATAGTTTTGCACGGTAATCTACTTGACATAATGGATTTAAAATTGCTCTGCACGTAGATCTAGTACACAAAACTGGATCATATTGAATAGGTGGTAAATCAGGGCGTTCTTTAATAGGCTGGTAAAGAGTTCCTAGAGGTACAACAAGCCTAGTAGCATCAATACGTGACGATGGCCAAACATTCCAAGTAAAACGAACCCCATCGCGATCTTCGTTTTGTTGAATGAAATCCTCATACGTTGTCATTTTACTATAATTATAAACAAAGATTATTTGTCAATCCATACGATTCATAAGCATATTTATAATTGATAGATTTACTTCATATCTGCTTAATGTATTATAGGTTAAAAAATTCAACTTACTTTTTTTTTATAATTGTATTTACTTCTTGAAATTCTATTAATTATATGAATACACGATATTTATATTAGTCTCTCATATTTAATTGATATCAGTTTATAAAATACCAAAACTATGCGACATTCAATTGGTGAACGCATAACCCGAGCTATTATATCCCAGCCACGTCACTTGCCACTCATTACCGTCATCTAAAACGCATGCGCAGAAAAGTCAATCTTGAAAGAATTTTTAAATATTATTAGATATATATATATATATATATATATATATATTTCGGTTTATATGTAGATATTAAATATAAGATTATTTATTAGAAATTCATTTAAAGATATTTTAATTTTATATATATACTTATCAATTTTGTATTATTTCTTATTAAATCGTATATTATATCATTTGAAATAAATAAAGATAAATTCTAGATAATTTTCCCTACTAATTATATTTTATCTATCTCATATTATTCTTAATTGTACATTTTTATTTATGATAATGTTAGTAAAATGTATGTATTATGTATATACATAATACTTATATATTGTCCATTTGTAGTGAAAGTCACCTTTCTGGTAGCTAACCAATGAGATTCGTATCTAGGTAGGGAACTTCTTTTCATAAATGGACAGTAGACATTTTTATAAAAACTGACAGTAGTGCATCTATAAAAATAGTGGTGAAAAAGTAATCGAAACTCTATATACGAATCTGATTTAGTTTAATCTCTTTAATTGTAGACGTGTTACAGAAATGGGTGTTGAAAAAATTCCAGACTCAAATAATGAAAATGAAATGCAGGATACAGTGCTACCGAAAAAAAAGCAAACATATTCTTTAGAAAGTATCCTTTTATTAAATTATTATAATAACCCCATTTTTAAATAAGTTGAATATATCCATATGTTATTTCCTAACCTTTTGCTGACGCAGAACTAATATAATTAATTGATCTATTTAATAATAATAATAATGCTATAAAAATTAATTTTATATATATTAATTTTATATATATATACAAACTATACTCATAAGTTTATATTAAATCCCAATGCGAATCACAATAATTAAATGAACAATTATTTTTACTTAAAATATTATTGCAGTTTTTTTTAATGTTAGTATTACTTATCCTTAATATGTAAATAGTTTTAAAAATTATAAAGGAAGCTCAACAACAACATGGACTGAGGCATGGGGACTATCAAAGATACAGAGGTTACTGTTCAAGGAGACTTAGACGTTTGCGTAAAGTTCTTAAAGTTCCACAAGGTGACAGACGTCACTTTAAAAGAAAAGATATTACAGGAGCAATGGTTAGTGATGATAAATTTCTGCAAATTCCATTAATGCTATCTGAACGTGCATGGAGTTATGCAATGCAGTTAAGACAAGAATCTAATACGGAATCAAGGAAGAAATTTCACTTAGTATCAAAATTAAGAAAAGCTGCTACGTATTCTCTACAATTGCAAGAATTGATAGAAGTATGTATGTAGTTGTTAAAAAAATAAAAAAAAAAAATAGGAAATATTTATATAATGTCAATGTTTCAGAACATAAACAGCGATGCTCGTACTAAACTGGAAGCTCAAGCATATGTTGCTTGGATGCATGGATCATTGCATTTTGAATTGCAGTTATGGAAAGGTGCAATGGAAAATTTACAAAAAGCTCAAGTAGTTTATGGAAAGTTAGCTTCTGCTTTATCGGAAAAGGAACGATTGATGTACAATGCACGTGTTGAAGAACTTGCACCAAGTCTAAGATATTGTGCCTATAACATAGGAGATACTACTGCCATTGATGATCTTATGCAAATGCGAGGACAATTAAGCGGAGAGCTATTAGCTGGCTTAGATTCATTGATTGCTCAAACACGTGAAAAGCAAGCAAATACTGAAGAAGTTACATGGCGTGGCAAATCGTGTGGTACTGTGCCTCCCAGAGCTGCTGGTCTATTGATAGCAGATTCTAGACTGAATCAAACATTAGAAAAAACAGCGACCAATCAAGCTAAGATTGATCTTTTAGAAGCACATCTTATAGATTGCAAAGATGCAATTGTAGCTGTGCGAGATTTATTTAAAAATGAATTAAAAAACAAAGATAATGACAAAGTATCTCCATCTCAGCATTTAGTTACCTACTTACAATATATTCGATTATCTCGTACATTAGAACGTAACTTAGCTTTAGTGAAAGTAGCTGAAGAATCTGAGAAAGCTAAACCTCAAGATATTGTGAGATTGTATGAAGCTGCATTGCATAATCTAGTTGAAATATCACAGTTACAAGACGATAAAGAATTTGCACTCGAACAGGAAGCTAAAACTAAAGCTTACAGAGCTTTCAGATGTTTTTATATGGCACAATCTCTAGCTAATCTTCATCGATGGCGTGAAGCAATGGCACTATATCAGAGATCTTTAAAACATGTAAAAGATGCTCTTCAACATATCAATATCTTGCCTACAGATTTAAAAGAAGCCTTGAATAAATTAGAAATATCGATTGAAGGTGCTCAATATGCTGCTCATGCTCATAGTGTTTTGGAAGATGGTCAAGATGAAGAACCAGGAATAAATAAATTTATAAAAAGCAAGAAACCATTATATGAACGACTTCATGAATACAGAGAAGATAGTGCATTACTTACAAAACAACCTAATGTTTATAAACTACCGCCGACAATGCAAAGCATTCCTTGTAAACCATTATTTTTTGATTTAGCTTTCAATATGGTTGAATTTCCAGATTTGAGTGACAAACTAGGTGATCAAGCTAAGAAAGGAGGACAAGCTGGTCTTACGGGCTTTGTCAAGGTTATCTGGGGGTGGGGAAATAAATGAGATCAAATTTAAAATAATTATTGCTCTATGTGTAATATATATCTTTTGGTTTCATATTGATTTTCAACATGTATTGTTTACATACGAATCATGTCTTTATATTTTATCAATTAGTAGTAGTTTGGAAAAGAATAAAAAAGTGTACGTACAAACTGAATATTCTTTATTTAAAATTTGTCTTTTTCCTTTTTCTTTTTCTCTTTTTCTTTCTCTTATTTTTATTTAATTTATCATAATTACCTGAATAATTTTTTTTTTAAATATAAATTTTGAACTTTCTAGTTAGGTGCAGCATAAATTTTAGGTTATATTATATTCTTATGTGATTAAACATAGATTTTATAGGATATATCAGAAAAACTCGTCATTTAAATGTTTTATAAAGAATGATAAATGTCCAGAAAAAATTTTATTACTCAATTGTTAGATCACTGAAAATATACTTAGTGCACTTTCCTTGTTTATTTTTAGTACTATTAGCCGATTCGCATGCATTCGGGTACGATCGGAAAAATTCGAATCTTCAAAAAAGGCGGTTTCAAAAAATGGTGAAAAGTATATTAGAGGACAGTTTTAATAATCATTATGTATTAATATAAACTTCTTGCCTTGCCTAGAAGTTTATTTTTTAATGTAGAACCAGTTTCTTATTAATTAGTAGCATAATGCCAACAGGTTAGTATGCAATTTGATACATTTTAAATTCATAAAATTTTACTATTAGCATTGAAGAAATTGACATAAGAGGTTAACATTTCAGTGTCTGAAACTTTGATAAAACATCGGATCAAGAATGTTATCCGTAAATTTAAATTTAAAGAATTAGAAGATGCTGTACTACCAGTTTTTCCAGAAACAACATGGAATCGTTTGAAGTCTCGATTGGTAAAACAACATGAACAGTTTATAACTGCAAATGTTGTTTTTGCTCTAGAAAAAATAATTAATGTAATTGTTTTTGACATATTTTTATTTAATACTTTTGATTTATTTACATATAAATATGTATTTGTTCATTATTATATATTGTTAAAGCATTCTAATTTTTGTTTTAATTTATTTTTAAAGGATAACAATGTAAAGGAAAAAGAATTGAAACAACGATTAATGAGATTAGAACTTATTGGTAAATTCTTATGATCTTTTATGTTTCTTATTTTATTAAGTTTTGAATCATTTTAATTTCTTCTTATTTATAATTATTTTGTAGAAATAAGTAGACATAAACGAAGGTGTTGGTATACTTACGGTATATCAGGCTCTAATAATGAGCCTCCTCACATTGGGACTATAGATTTTAAACAAACTGTAAAAGAAAAGCTTAATAGACTAAAATTTACGACTAAAAAAATAGAAGTTGATGCTGTAGTTTTTAATGGTATCATGTATTTAAGTATAAAACTTGTAATGCAAGATAGTTTAAAAACCCCAGCTAATTATTTTGCTATATTTTTGGATAAAAAATATATATTTGCTGCACAGAAAAAAACACTTCAAGTTTTTGTAGATGCAATAACGCAAAGTATGGGTTATAATAAAAACAAAAGCATTGATTTAAATGGCAAAGATCTTATGTCATTAATGAGATTACTTCGAGTACGAAAACAAGGTGCAGTAAGTCTATCAGATATCATGAATATACCAATGTACAAAAATGCCAAACCCATTATTAGGTAATATATTTACTTTTATTTTTAAAAAATAATCTTGTCAATTTTCAATATTTTATGTTAAATTAATATTATTATTTTCTATATTTTAGAAAAACAGGTATAGATTTTACACAAGAACGACAAAGGAGAAAATTTATAGAAAATCGTTTTGGTTTAGACCCACCAACATTAAATACACTCGTTATTAATGGAGCAAATACTTCTATCTATGATAGAGAAATAGCATCACGTTTACCAAACAATACTATTCAAATTGGGTGAGTCTTTATGTAGAAATATAAATGTTATCAAAAACTGTCATATATACATGTGTCAGCGTTAAATTAACCCGAAATAACTAGGCTTTTATGGGAAAGCATATAAAAAAAATGTTATTACACACTAAAACTAGTAGTTTTAGGAAATAACGAGGTTCTATATGAATTCACAAAAGGTGAGTAGTTGAAGTATAAGATTGAAATTTCTTCCATCTTTTGTCTGCTTTTTTTCTACAATAATGCTCATAGCTATCCGTTCTTATCTCTTCATATACTTTGAAAACCAATATTCTACTAGTCATGCTGTTCTATTGAATCTATTGTACGAATCAAATTTAAATTTCATATTTTAACTCCTCGTTTCCTTGTAAATTCATATATTATCGAGTTGAAGTATGAACCTCTTATACCTCCTCCTTATATTTGAGAACAGATCAGTATAGTTATTTCAGAATTTAGCTAGTTATTTCACAAAATAACGCCAACATATATATATACACAAATATATGTATATTTGTAGCATATCTAATATACAATATAGTATATAGTATTTAGTAATACATTTGATATATATATTTGGGAACTAAATATAACATTAAAATATTTAAAAATATATATTTTTAGGTGGGAGTTTCGTAGTGAAAATATAGCTATCTTTTTAATACATTTATTTGAAAGAGGAATACTTCTCCCTCCTTTACCTTCTTATATTTCCAATCTTATGTTTATGGGAAGGAATATGTTGACACTTGGAGAATAAAAATTTTATAATATTTAGAAAATAATAAACAATATTTATAAAATAGTTTTATTATATATACAATATACCATTACACCAACCATATATTAATGGTAAACACAATACTCTCAATTCAAAAAGTACAAAAGAAGTAAAAAATCATGAATTACTAAATCTATATAACCAAATAAATTGATAAGTTTATATGCTTAACAATAAAGCGCTCTCGGAAATAGCAATAAAAAAGCTATTATAACAGAACGAAGTCCTAATAAAAAGAAGAAGAAGAAGAAGTTTATATGCTTGTAAAAATATATAAGATAATATTTAAGGTTGTTCACTACTTTTCAACTGAACTAAAAATGCAACAGGAAAGTGCCATTCTTACCATGCACCTGTAATATTGATGTATAAGCTTATGTAGGTTAATGTCCGTTAGTGTTTGGTGTTAGTAGATTGAACTTACACTTTTCAATCTCTCATCTATACGTTAGATGAAATCCAGGGCCAATACAGTTTTGAATGATGACATATCTCCAAAGAGAATAATAATTAATATAATTGATAACTTGCAGTAATTAGTATATAAATTTTTGATAAAAATAAACAAGAATTTCTGTTGATGATTTGACGATTATTTTATGTAAAATAATAATAATGAATACTTATATATTGTATACTATTTTGATACTAATTTTAATGCACATAAACACAGATACAAGTTCATTTTTATGTGTATATTCTGTGCTCGTAATGAAAGGTTAAGAATTCTAGTTAAAAATAGCATATTTTATTTTTGATTTGTAAATAATACTTACGTTAATTTCATTAGATTATAAATAATCAGAGATTTTACTTTTATTTTTTATTTTATTTCGAGAATATTGATACATTTTTATTATTTTAGAAATTAATACTCTTTTATTAATATGATTTATGTTTTATTACTATTATTATTATATTAAAATTGATTAAAATGTAAAACTGAGTAATATATACTATCTATAATATATATATATATATATGTTACAGTTGATATTATTTGCAGATGTTAATGATTTAAATGATTTAAAAGCACCATTATAATATGTGTTAGAAAATAATTATAAATAATATAATCAATATATTATTATTATTACATATAATCATCATCATCAGATGTTTCATCAGGATCTCCAGCTTGCGATTGACATCTATCACAAGAACAAATAAACAAGTACAAAGAGCTTAAAGCCTTTTGTCTAGAGTGTCTACTTCTTATAAGTTCACAGTCTTCTAGATAACTTATAGTAATTTCATCTCCAGGTTGAATGTCACGTATAGCTTTTAATACTAAGGTGCTATTTGAATAAGGAAACTCAACAATTGCATTTGATAAACAGCTATGATTTACAGTTGATTGAAGAACATAAAGCCCAGAACCTTCATTGTTCAAAAAGGAACCAACCACTTAAAAAAGAAAAATAATATTATATTACATTCAATTTTTATGAAGTAATTAACTTCCAACAAAAAATATAATTTTTATTCCACATACCTTCTTCCATATCATCGTAAAGTCTATCGATAAATTTATCCACGTGTATTCTTTCGTTTTCAGGTAATTCTAAAACATTAACATTTTTTACCCAACGAGCAAATGCACTTGTACCAATTCCTTGACCATTAGTACCTACTAAAGCTAATAAACTTCTAAAACCTTCTGGTGTAAACCACTGTAAATAAAAAAATTAAACTTATAACAAAGTAGTATTTTAATAATTATAACGTTATTTATATATGGATATTTTTGTTACATACATTCAATGTATGATCATTATTTAATGCTTTCTGTAACAACTGTCTTAATACATCGATTTGTCCAATAAATTTTTCACCTAATAAATTGTGTGCTATTTCATGAGTGTCGTTTACAGTACGATGACAAAATTGTGAAAAAGTTTGTAAAATATCTCCTTGGTCAGAAGTCTGAATAACAATAGCAATCATTCTAGCTAATAACATTATCGTTGCAGTTTCAGGTGGATAATGCATTTGTTTCCATGTTTCATTTAATTGTAACAATGGATGATCATCATTTTTATCCCTTGATTGTAAGCACAATACTTTATGATATCTGAAAAAGTCGCTTGGTTTCAACTAATTTCCTTTACAAATAGTAAAGATACGAATATTTATGAAACCGACTATGCACCAAATTATATGTAATCAGTGTTAATAAAATATGTATTAATAATATAGAAATATAGTCACCTTTCTATTGCCTCATTTTTACATTCATTGCTACAATATTTTATTCCGCAAGCAGAACATTCAGTAATCAAATTCTTTTTGGTTTCGCAACATTCCATATGCGGTAGGATTATGTCTGGTTTACTAGTTAATCTACGAGCATTTTCTTCTGCAGTCTCCAAAGGTTTCAAGCAATTGTCACATGCTAAATATCCATATTCTGCATTCCATGAAAATTGACAACATACCAGCGGCTTTTCTTCCAATATTATATTACCTTCTTTGTATAAACGTGTTGCAAAAAGACCTTTTCCCTTTTAAAATTTCATTTAAATATCATTAATTGTTTATGAATATGAATGTATGTAAAATTGATTTTCATTCATTATTTCATTTATACATTTACACATATTTGTATATAAATAGGTGCAGGAAACTTGATTATTATGGAAAACTACGACATGAAAGAAAATCCTAACTTTTACCTTTTCATTATCAATTATTCTCACTTGGAAACCGTCCGTATCCATGATAGTATAATTTCTTAATTTATTATTTTGTTTTTCTATCTTTCAAGTCCTAACCCATAAACGCATGTCTTCCATTGAAAGGGTACTACGTAAGTCAAGTTGCGTTAAAAAAGTTTTATAAAATAATAATATATGAAGGATAATAATGATTTGACTGATACAGATGATTATTTATAATGTTATTTATAAATTATACAATTTATATGATCATAATTACTCTTAACAGAAGATATTTAATATTAGTTTGAACTTTAGAAAAGGATAGCGTTAATGTGTCTTCCTTGTGCAACTTCCGTAGAGGAGAGAATTTCGGGTGTGAGTCAGTTTGTCAGCATCGCGTGCAATTTATTACTTTAGTGAATTTAAAAATACTCTTTATTTCTTTCAATTGAAAAGGATAATGAACGGAACAATGGCCATGGTAAATATACGACTAAATTTAATTACATGTTATGAAAGGTTTTAGTAATAGCAAAGAAAAGTGAAGTATCGAACAACTATGGCCGTTGCAAAAAAGGTTTAGATATTCAACATATCTCCGATCTTAGATGTACTAATAATTGATCTTGTTCAAATTTTTATATTGTTTTTAGCCATATATAAATGCGTATATTATTTATTAATAGTATTTTTAGTAATAGTATTTAATATATTCTTTTAAATACTTAACTATTTATGTTTATATCACTGATCTTTCATAATATTAATTTGTCTCATATTTACGTTTGTTACGGTACGTTAATTTATTTAAATTTTTCGAAGTCGAATTTTTAAATTTAAGTAATAACATGGAAATTGTTATTTTATAATTTTCTTTATAAATTTATAAACAAAATAAAAAATTATTTATCTTGTAACAATTGTGAGTTATTTTATGGTTAGAAAATTTCATAAAAATTGTATATGTGGGAATAGCTTTTCTATAGGATTTGAACCAAATGTTCACATATTTGTTATTTTTGTTTGCCTTAAAGAGATTAATAGGTTATAATTATTTTTATAACATATGTGCATTATTTGAATTAATTTTATCTATACTATAAAATATATTGTACATGGATGATGTATATTAAGACAAGATATTAATTTTTGTATTTTTGTTATTTGTTTGCGCAGGCACCAACTTCACAAAATAATATGGAACCACCAAGCAAGAAGTCTAGAGTTGAAGGTATATTGCTAAAGCAGCTAAATTGCTGTATCTCCGTAGTCACTAAAAAATCATACACATATATGTATGTGTGGAAAACATGGTATATGCACAAGCGACAGGAGGTGTAATTTTTAAACAAAAAGGGAATGACGAAGGCAAATACTTTGATCACATTTACTTAGGGCAGTCAGGTGCTAGCTTTGTCTTAAATGCTGGCAAATTGTAGCAGTCAAGTGGTCTATTGCAGTTTCAGATTAAATTTTGATAGGTTAGGGTTCTAGATGATCGTTGGCCCTGAATAAAACTAATGTATGGTTGTCCTTCTGTTCTGAGATGTTACAGCGGAGAGACAGTACAGAATCTGTGGCCTACGACTGAGCTGTGATCATGAGCGTGCGCCAAACAAAGAAAGAGAACGCTACATTCGTTGAACAGAACAAATCAGAGTTTTGCAAACTCCCACTCACACAGCATCAATCGAGTACCATATATGATGCATACTTTAGATAGGTCAGCATATTAGGGTAGTCCTTTCTATGATCCTAATTACGAGTCTCATATATCTCTATAAAGTCAAGTTTATTTTATAAAAATTATGTTCAATAATTTTGGTGTTATAGATATAATTGTACTACTTAAAACTTTTTTACATTTATGACGCTAAAAATGAAAAGTTAAATCTGACATAAATGAAATGGAATTATAAAATAATACATGCACGCAATAATAGAACCGCATAGAGTAATAAGAGTAATTTTTCCTAAATTTTATATTTTTTTTTTTTATACAAATATTAATAATATATTACAGGTAGGATAAATTAATGTATATTTAAGAGACTTGTAATTAAGATGAGCAATGGCGATATTTATCTCTCTCAAGATGTTTATTAAATGATATAAATTTATTAAAACAGGAAATTTAAAAGGTAAGTTTATGAGATTGAGAAGATACCTGATATTATAATCAGGGTGATTGGAAATTTAGGGAAAGACTTAAACAGTCTAAATGACGGATACATGCAGTCAGGCTGTAAGATTATTATGTTTTATTTAGTCACACACACACACAATAACTTTTGTTATTCTATTCTAAATACTAAGCCTAAGTGCTAGTAGTATTATCTAAATTCATGAAAATTTGTATAGGATGTATAATTGTCTTTTATATTACTAACTTTGTGAAGTAATGATCGTGCAATTATTAAGTTTTTTCATATCTGCCTGAAAACAGAACATACTTAATGTTATAGCTGTTATTAATATCTATAATCGCCATTGCTATAAAAAAAAGTGTTAGGATTAATTGCGAGATAGGTTGAACGAGGCAAAATCTAAGAAAATGGCGCAGAAAATGCACTGAGAGTGTTCTCCTTTGCTTTGTGCTTGCAGATATGTGCATCGCCTCAATCTCGGATAATTTGCGCGCAACCGTCATTGCTCAGCCCAGAATACGGTTAGCTGTAAATCAAACAATTGAACAAAGTTAACAATTTTAATTCACAAAATTGAAAATTTAAAAAAAAAAAAATAAAAGAAAATAAGAAAGAACGGAGAAATCTTAACAAAACGTTTCAACGTGTTCTGATTTCTGTTTCAGAGACTAGCAGACCAAATTGGTTATGATCGTATAAAACGAAAGTATCTAATGTAATTATAAGTGGTTTAATGTTTTGAGGCTGATAATTAAATTAGCAATTAAAATTATAATCAAACTCCAATTGAATTTGGCTTGTGAAATATTTTTAAAAAGTTTACATTTAAAATAACTTCTACTTATACATTTTTGTAGACTGTTATAAAATTACTGCAAAAGATTTCATGACTGATTTAAAAAATTATACAGTGCACTTTCATTTTTTCTGATAGTTAGGCGAAGAAGGAGAATTCTGTTTCTCCATTCTTAATGCATTTGTGTATATATATACATATATATACACATATATATTTAAAAAAAAACACTTTTAAACAATTGTTATATTGCGTATATTTTGACTATTTTAATTCTTTTGAACTTACAGTTTGGAGGAAGATCCTATGTGTGGCTGGAATTGCTGTACAATATTATTACTTGTTATGGTTCCTTTAGTTAATTGTGATGTTATAAGCAGAATTAGTTCAATTATTATAAGACAGTCATTTTACAAGAATATCGCAGACTTTAAAGCTACCAAAAATCTATCTGCCGTAATTATTTTCTAAATCAAGTAACCAGTTAATAATATGGTTAATATAGTAATATAAAAATCGATACATTAAAAATAAAACTGACAAAAATTTATTTCACAAAGTTAGAATATTAAAATTAAAATTTGACCATTAATATAATACCTCTACCTTCACAAAAATATGAATGATATATTAATGTTTTATAAATGTGCAATGTGATGGTGGAAGTAGCGACAATAAATATCCATTATAGTATAATATTTTTCTAATACCAAATTTTTTTGTAGGGAATGCAACAGACTTCTTGCCAGGCCCTATATATGACCTTAATCAAATAGGTCAAGTTGTAGCCGGTATGTATCCTCATAATATAATTATACTAGTTTTAATTATGACTGTTTTGAATGATGTAAATAAAATTTGTGACACTTAATATCCAATCATTTCAACTAAAGTTATATTGAAGTGACAAAATATTATGGACATATAGCTGATAAGATCTGACAAAGAATTTTTTATATTTAATTAATTTGTAATCAATTAAAATGCAATTTGTCTAATATTTTTCTTAATATGTTATGCTTAGGTCCTGGTGCAAAATACCTTACATTACCTGGCATCTTAGGTGCTGGTCTACCAAAAATTACATCAGAACAGCAAGATACAGTGAACAGAGCGAAGAAATATGCCATGGAACAAAGCATCAAGATGGTTCTCATGAAACAGACATTAGCTCATCAACAACAGGTATTTCTTTTGTACGAGACTAATAAGCTTTACTCGCCTAACATATATTTTGTATTCTATTGTGCATTCTTATATTGAAGAAAATAGGTATAGCACTTGAGTAAAAATAAGAGAAAAATCTTGAAGAACTTGCATAAAAATTGATGTTGAAGTTGTAAGTATTTTGTTTTTTAGTACATTTTATAATAATTTGCATAATAGTACTTTATTATAGACATTATTTTTTTAATGAACATTTAACATAATATTGAATATAGAATGCATAGTGGAATAAATTTAACATATACACTTATAGAGTCAGAAACTATTTTGGGTCACTTTTATGAATTTTCATTTATTATTGAATGTTAAAAAATAATACATGTAAATATATAATGTTTCCTCTATTTAGCTCTTTGCCAATGTTACAAAATTAATAAACAAAAATTATTTAGTATGCATAATTTAGTTTTGCAATTTACATTTGTCCTTGTAAAATTAGCTCGCCCCGCCGAGTAATAATCAATTTCTGCTATTATTATTATATTGTACTTGTGTTCGTTAAACATGCGAGTAAAGTGAATCATAAGAAATTATAAACGAACACGAACCTCACTCTGATCGGTTAATTTTTTCTCCCTGCAGAAGAATAAGTTGGTCCTGCGGCAGCAAGTTTTATTGCTAATGTGCAGGTTAGTGTCAACCAAGTCAAGCCAGAAACAATACGAATCCGCCTAACGATCAAACACTCCTAAACGTTTCCCTGAGTTGCTACCATATGAAAAGGTTAGATATCTTGAAATAGTAGTCGGCGGGAGCAGAGCTGTACCAGCGCGAGGAGGACATGTTTTTGAGCATGAATCTGTGGATGATTTCAGAAAGTTAATAACTGTACCCTTCTGAGCTCAATTATTCTTTCTTTTAGAGCATTTATATTTCATTTTATCATATATAAAATATAATTTAACCATTTAGTCTATTCATTATAAATTACTAATCATTTTTATTCTAATGTCGGTTAACAAGTGATCTTTATGACATGAGAAAAATTATTTGTTCGTAGCATCATTTGTTAATTGCTGAAATATTCTCTTTAAAGCATACATATTTTTCGTGTTTTTCCTTTTCAAATAATTTTTTAATTGTACTACACAATATTTCTAAAACACATAAGTTCTTGAGTGTGTAATTTATAACTTACAATTAGTAATTTATTTTATTTATTATGATACGATTATCTATAAAATGTTCAATGCATATACAAAAGGAGTAGTAGTTGAGCAAAGAAGTTAGAGTGGTAAAAGAGCTTGGGGGATATTTGAAATGTGATTGAAAGATGATGTATGTAAGGGGGAGGGATATCAATAGAAGGCCTATGGTCCTTTGTGTTGCAGCAAATGGCTAGTCAACGGAATCAGGTGCAGAGACAGCAGGCTCTCGCCCTCATGTGCAGGTTTGTTTGTTCTTTGCCTTAGCCCTCCGAATTTTGTCCTCAAACCTGGCCATCATAGTTCAAGATATCACATCCGACATTTTCAGTTATTGTTGCATCTTATGCTCAGAGATAAATACTCATAGTTTTGTCAAAAGAAAACTATTTATATTTAATATTAGTTAAAAGCTTTTAAAAAAGACATTAACATCAATTAATTAAGCTTTATATTTATTCATTTTGATCTTATATCATTTCATAAATATATTATGAATCTCATTGTCAGTGTAAAATTAGATTTTGTTAAAGATGCGTGCGCACATTTACAACAATAAAAATACAACAGTACATATATACATACACTCACACATAAATACATTTTAGTTTACTATTATTATACATATTGCATCATAATGCAATTTTGTTCAATGAGTGTTAACATGCTAGGAAATGTATATTTCATTTCCTGCAATTAATTTCGAATCATACAAATTTTAATATATATATACATAATGAGTTTATAAATTTCTTTTACTGTACGCTCTTGTACTAGTATGCACAATAATTTTTTTGATTGAATTTCAAAAATAATGCCATTGTAACTTAAAATTATTTATATTCTATTATTTT